CATCTGGACATGTCGACTCATGTGACTAAGACTTGTGCTAGCGCGTTTTATTATTTGTACAATATCCAGCACATTAGGAAGTATTTGTCTCGTGAGTCCACCGTGAGGCTTGTTCACGCGTTCATCACAAGCAGGCTTGACTACTGTAATGGTTTATTGTAAGGTGCTCCTGAGTATCTAATTAAGAAACTTCAAAGAGTCATGAATGCCATTGCTCAATTGGTTTACTGTGCACCTAAGTATTGTCACGTTACTCCTTTGTTAAGAGAACTCCACTGGCTACCAGTGCGCTTGCGCGTAGATTTTAAGATTCTCCTTGTTACATTTAAGATTCTTCACGGTGTTGCGCCTAGCTATCTTAAGGATCTTGTCTCTGTCTTACCGGTCTCACGTTACCAACTACGCCGTAACAATAATGGTATATTGTTAGAAAGACCTCAGCTAAGAACGAAGAAGACCTTGGGAGATCGCGCGTTATCGATGGCTGCCCCCTTTTTATGGAACAGTCTTCCTCTGCCAATTAGACAGGAAACATCAATCGACTCTTTTAAACGCTCTGTTAAAACATATTTATTTAAAAAGGCTTTTAGTTAGATTATTTATTTATTATTATTTTTTTTTATTTTTATTATTTTTATTTTTTTAATATTGTAATGTTAATATTGTAATATTGTAATTTTACTGAGTAATTTTACTGGTTTTAATTTAGTTTTTGATAATATTGTAATGCGCTTTTGATTATTTTTATAGAAAAAGCGCAATATAAGTATTAAATATTATTATGTATTAAATATTATTATTATTATTATTATTATTATTGATCGAACTGAGTGATGGACAGAGTGGCACGCTGAAACTTGGAATAAGTGATCATGATCTTGTATACATTGTGAGAAAACTACGCTTGCCAAAATCGAAAGTGCAAACGATTGAGTCCAGAAGTATGAAGAAATTTAATGAAGCCACTTTTTGTTGTAATTTATCTACTGCTCCATGGGACAGTGCCTTTGTTTATGACGATATTAATGATGTCTGGAACCACTGGTCAAAGCTCTACAAAAACATAATAGACAAACATTAACTTCCGTGGATCAATGTCCAAATAAAAAGAGCAATTCAACTGAGAAACAAACTATACCGCAAATATCGCCTTAGTCGGAATGACGAAACTTGGGAAAGTTATAGAGTACAAAGGAACTTAGTTACCAAACTTAAGCGAATATCTATTAAACGGTTCTTTTTGGACTCTTCGGCTAACACAACAACTCCTGGAGATTTTTGGAAGCAGGTAAAGCCTCTTCTACTGTCTTCTGGACAAGATAACAGCGATGGCACATGCATAATGGATAGGGGTGCAGTTGTAAGTGATCCATCCAATCTTTTCAATGAACACTTCTCTTCACCTGTTCTTGATCGAGCTGTTTTGACTAAGTCTGTTGAAGATTTCGAACATCATCCAGGTGTGACTTCAATCTCGTCGCACAATTTCAATCTTGGTTTTTCATTTCAACCTGTCAGTACGGAATACATTGGTAAATTGCTCACTGGCCTTAAAACAAACAAGTCTTGTGGACCTGACAATATCACTCCCTTGATTCTTAAGCTATCTGCATCAACAATCAAAGGGCCTCTGACTAAGCTCCTTAACGTGGCCACAGGAATGGAAATTAAGTAATGTTACTCCAGTCTATAAAAAGGATGATAGCTCTCTTGTGGAAAACTACAGACCAATCAGTATCTTGTCGTCCATTCCCAAGATTCTTGAGAAAGTTATGTATGATCAGCTCTATGATACTTTCAAGACCCACTTCTCTCTCAATATGTCTGGATTCTTAAGTGGGCACTCATGTTGCACTGCTCTTCTAAAAATGGTTGACGACTGGAGACTAGCCCTGGATTCTAAGAAAGTTGCTGGAATTATTGCCATTGACCTTTCCAAAGCATTTGACTCTGTGTGTCACAACCTACTCCTAGCCAAGTTGCGTGCTTATGGTTTGAATGATGATGCCCTCAGATTCGTACAGTCATACCTGACCAAGCAACAGCAAAGAGTTAAATATAATTGCAAACTCTCTGATTGGCTTCCCGTTCAATGTGGTGTGCCTCAAGGTAGTCTTCTCGGTCCCTTATTTTTTAATATATATATATGAATGACTTAAACTTTGCTGGCCAGATTGCTTCCTTGCGTCTATATGCCGACGACTTATCGATCTCATCACGATATCACTTTCTTGGAAATCTCCCTGAACCATGATATTGACATCCTCCTGTCTTGGCTTTCTTGTAATTATCTTATGGTCAACAACATAAAGTCCCATGATGATTGGAGATATTGCTTACGACCCTCAATTTATCATTGGTGACTCTAGAGTCGAGTTATCTAACTCACTCAAAATCCTTGGGGTCATAATTGACGACAAGTTAACATTTGCTGATCACACAGAGTGTCATAAAAAAAGTCTATGCCAAGATTGGTGCCCTTAGGAGACTCAAAAAACTTATGCCTGTAGATGTCTCCCTATCGCTCTATAAGGCTTACATACTTCCTCACCTGGAATACTGTAGTCCGCTATTGCTTGGAATAAATAAAACACTGAGCTCTAAACTGGAATCAGTCAATAAGTACGCACTTAAAACTTTGCTTAATCTCGGCAATAGTGTTGACTACAATACAATTTTAGCTAAAAGCAACATGACAACTCTAGAACATAGGCGATTTTATAGTTCCTTGGTATTACTTTTTAAATGTATGAAATGGAACGGTCCAGAATATATAAAAAACTTTTTTCAATTGCGGGAATCTAGATATAATTTAAGGAATAAAGGTGTAAATCTAGTGCAATCAGGGTATAATAATAGATTCTATCATAATTCCTTTACATATAAAGTTCGTCACCTTTGGAACAGTTTACCTAGAGAACTTAAAACAGCATCTAAGCTTAGCGATTTCTGTTGCAAACTTAAGACTTTCGATTTCAGCACACTAGGACCTATCTGTAAATGTAATACATGTATTTGACTTTCATTGTACATACACATACATTGTCATTTTTATTCATATTAATCTACTGCAATATCTTTCACCGAAAAAAATTTTTAGACTCCTTTAACTATCAATATTAATTACCTACAAATTCACACTTATTATTCATACTCTAAACTTGTATATTTTTACCTATAAAGTTTTTTTTTTTTTAATTTTTTATCTGATTCAGTTGACATTGTCGCTTGTGTTTGGGCTTTTGCCTTCAGCTCAAGTCTTCTCCTTTTTGCCTGTGTTAATTGAGTTAGTTACATGCTGGAATTTATTTTGACTTATAAGTACTTCTTATAATGTACCTTTAATTATAGTTAATTTATAGTCTACCGTTTTATACACGAGCCTCTGGCTCGGGCAATTGGGCAACCATGCCTCACGTTAGACAATAAACTTTGATTGATTGATTGATTGATTGACACTCAACACTCAGAAGAAGGGGAGTGAGGTGAAAGAAAAGTTACATGTCAGAGATGTAGTATTGGTTGTTGATCAAGGTAAATAAAGCAAAGTAAACATCGCCAATGACTATATCAGCTTCAGACGCACAAACGAGTTATTGTGTGACAACAACACTGTTTGTGCGTTGACTTTTTACCAAGCGACTTGACTTAAATAAATAAGACTGATTGACATGAGATCCTTATAAACTTTGTTGCAAATAAAAAGAATTGCTTTTTATTAAAGATCTTGTCTAGAAAGCCAAGTTTTCTTTAAAAAATCTGAGCGATTGACATGTTGATTACGATGTTGTTGTCACACAATAACTCGTTCATCATTCACAAGATAAACATCACCAATGACTCTAACAGCTTCAGACGCGAACGAGTTATAACTCGTTCGCGTCTGAAGCTGTTAGGGTCATTGGTGATGTTCACCAATGTTCAACAATGTTTAAGCTTCTGTTTGATGTTCACCAATGTTCACCAGTGTTTTTTTACTAACTATCGTTTACTTTTCTGTATGTTTAACTTCTAATAAGTTGTATTGGATTGAGGATCAACTCACCAACATCTCTACTCAATTTTATACGTCGGCGAGTTGGCGTCGGCGAGTTGACCATAATTCTGATGAGCTGACTGTGTCCATTGAACATCTCAGGGCACAAAGAGAATGTGACATAGAGAGAAGAGCTGACAACCAGAGGTGCTCTTCAGGGAGGAGGATAAAGAGACGACTGAATTGATTTGTGACATTTGAGCTGACTGTCGTGTGACTTTGTGAAGCCCCAGGTGCATCACCTCATGGGGGACTGAAAATGTGTAAAATGTGGGATGTGATGAAAAAAAAAGCACATGGAAGATGAAAAATCTTGTCATATTCTATGGATTCGACTCTGCATTATTTTATCCACTCCTAGTAGGGGAAAATTCAAATATCATGATTGACATGTGTTGGCAAAAGATGGGTCCTCAATTTCTAACTCACCCTACGTTCACCCACATATATGTTAAATTTGCACAGATGCTTTGCATACAGTATGGTATATGCAGTATAGTATATCTTAAAGGAGCTAAGGAGAAACAAAAGCATTGTCATCCTAAAGCTAGACAAAGGAAATGGGGTTGCCTTTCTAGATGGAACTGATTATAACCATGGCATATTAAAAATCATCAGCAGCATGTCCAAATTTTGACCTCTCAAGGAGGATTCTACTTTACTGAGAGGAGGCAGACTACAACGACTCATCAGAAAATTAAAGAAAACTGGTCACCTTGACAGCGATGTTTATAGCAGTATCTGTCCCAAAGGCTCACAACCAGCAAGGGTTTACGGGTTACCAAAAATGCACAAGGAAAAGGGACATAATTCAATCCCGCCATTTTGGCCCCTTGTGTCCTCTATTAGAACATAGAACTATGACCTAGCTAAATATCTGTGCAATCTCCATACACCTCCTATTCCAATGGAACAGTGTACCTTGGACTCCTTCACCTTCGTCCAGGACATCCAAGGTTTATCTTTGTCTAGCAAATTTAAGATCTCATTTGATGTAGAGGGTCTTTTTACAAACATACCCCTTGAAGAATGCATTGACCTTGCAGTCGGGTACATTTCTGATGGCAACTCTGAGCTCAAGTTAGGTAGCACCGAGCTTAAAAGCTTTTTCTCCATAGCCACCACTCAGACCCATTTCCTAGTTAAAGGGTCTATCTATGACCAGCTAGATGGTGTGGCTATGGGTTCTCCCCTCACTCCTGTTCTTGTTAATCTCTTAATGGGACATCATGAAACTTATGGTTGGAAAATTGGCAAGGCTCAGAGGTATTGTTGTTGACAATACATTTTGTTTATTTTATTTGCAAAACAATGTGCTACTATTGTCAATTATGTAAACTCCACGCATCCCAACATTAGGTTCACTGGGGAAAAACAAACAGATCACAAAATACTGTTCCTCGATGTTTTAATCAACGATGACACCTATATTCCTGTCACAAGTGTTTACCAAAACTTTACAGGCCTGTTGACTAATTATTTAAGCTTTATACCTTATCCCTACGAACTGAGCCTCGTTTGCACTTTTGTTGATAGAGCCTACAAGATCAACAACACATGGTTGGGTTTCCACAAAGGCATTAAGAAACTCCTTGAAATCCTTAAAAAGAATCTTTTTTCAGCCCATCTGCTTGAAAGGGTTGTCAATTGGTATCTCACCCTCACCCATAATTAGCGCAATCCCCTAGTCTCCATTTTAGACACTACTACTAACAATTACCTTACATTGGCCCTTTTTCTGTTGTCAAGCAAAAAGGTTCACCAATTTGCTAAGCCTTATTGTAACAACATTGATATTAAGTTGGTTTTTACATCTTTTAAACTGGGCAATAATAATAAATACTTTATTTAAACTGAAAAAACTGATCAGCAGATTCATCATAAAAAAGGCTGGTATTAACCAGTGATCAGTACATAAAATACTATGAAAAATACAATTCACTATCGATACAAGTTAAGATTAAATTAAAAATTTATCAAAAAATATTTACAGTGATAAAAAAAACTTATACATTACATTTGTGTTGTGCCTTGTCTGATTCTATCAAAAGTTTAAAAGTTTTAATATTAAAAAATTCTCAGCATTTCACAAGCATGCAGTTGTTTGGGGTGGTCATTCCATTCCTTTGCAGTGGCATACGTGAATGATGGCTGGCCCATAGCTCTTTTATACATTTCAGATCAGTTCTGATCTCAATGCAAAATACCCTTGAAGTTGCCTGAGACAGTGATAATCATTTACCATTTTATATACTAGTTGGAGACCTAAATAATGGCACCTATAAGATAATGTTAACAGGTCAAGTCTCTCCCTCATTGACTGTGTGCATGTTAAGTGATTTGTTCTTAAAATTATTTGCATTGCTTTGTTTTACAAACTTTCCAGAAAATCAGAGTTTTACTTGCTGCAAAAACCTCATACAATGCAGCTAAAGTCTAAAATAGTTAAAATTGTCGTTTTGTAAATCTTCGATAAAAACAGCATGGCTAAGAAAAGATGAAACTCTATTCAAAAGTTTCAGTTTAGGATAGACTCTCAAGGAAACATATGACACATGATTGTTCCATGATAATGACTTGTCTACCACCACACCAAGATTCTTAAAATTTCTCTGCTGTTTTAATAATGAGTCTCTGTAAAAAATGTTAATATCCCAGTTGGTTTTGAGTGCTTTGTGGAACACAATAATCATGGCTTCCAGCTTTTTTGTATTACAAATGAGGCCATTCCTACAAAACCAATGTCTGACACTCTTGAGATCCTTGTTGACATTGTACACAGCTAAATCAATATTCTTCAAGCTGGAATGCATCTCAGTATTGTCTGTGTATAACAAGAGAGTAGATGTATGACATGCCTTCTTGACTTTTATCCTGCCTACCCATACTCTAGAAATTCCAATAGTATTGAAAAAAGCTGATATCAGTTTGATTACTGTTGTACATATTCATATATTTGGAATGTACCACTCAGCTAGTATGTCACTGTCACAACTCTGCCAGACTCTATTTTATATTCTGATATCCCAGTCATCGTAATTTAATGTATTCATAGGTGATTATAAATTTAATTGGAACAGCATCATATAAAGAAGGCCTTTATATAATGTAGATATTAGAGACCATAGATATAGACAGATGGTATCATGTTACACTACAGATAACAAAAATTGTATAAAAGTGCCAATACGAGAGACATATTTTGCAGATCACAAATTAGTTTGTCCCCCTATTGATAATTTTAGTGTAACGTAACATAGTGTATACTGACCACCTGTATACTGTTGAGCAAGCCTTGCAAGCAGATATCTACACAATTGTAGACTTATGGTCAAAATTGTAATGAAAATGAAAACAAGCAATCCACACTTCATGATGGGCAACCCACCTACCATTACAACACTCTAGTTGCAGATCACACTGATTGTGTTACATTGGTCTTGTGGGTAAACAAAACTGATATCTACAAAAGCAAATATCCACGCAATTGTAAATTTTAAAGTCAAAATTATGATGAAAAATGTAAAGAAGCAATCCGTACTTCATGATGGGCAACCCACCTACCATTGTGACACTCTAGCTGCAGATCACACTGATTGTGTTAAGTTGGTCTTGTGGGAAGACAAAATTGATGGTGTACTCCAGAAAGTGATACCATTTTAGAATTGTCACATTGCGAAGGTTTGATGATGACAAATATGTTGGCACTGATCACCATCATGAAGGAAAGAACATCGCTGATATAAACTTAGAAAATCTTCACATAAAGAACCACATCATAAGTGGCCAAATAATAAGGGTGAGTGTCAAAGACGACACACTGTTTTTCATGTAACAAAGCATTTATAACTGAAAGTGAAGAAGACATGTACACCTGCAAGAATTACAGTATGACAACTCTATTACCATTGTGTAACACAAAAGTCCTCAGACAGATAGTTCTAAAAATATTTTAAAATATCTCTACATATGTCATTTTCAACAATGGATTATTGAGCTTCCTTGCCAACACTTTATGCACGGAATTGACATTGTCTCAACCAGATGTAAAACCATTGAAAACCCTTTACTTAAATCTGGTAACCAAAAGATGATTGCTGACAAGGCAAGCAATATCATTTGCCAGTTCTCACCAACCTAGTGAAAAAAAAAACTTAAACATTCATCATATATTTTGACAAGCATTAGATACTAATTCTAGTATATTCAGAAATAATTTGCTTGTTTTTTTTCCATTCATTGTAATTTGTGTGGTAAATAAGTATAACGAGCCACATGGCTGCAGAAAAATTTTGGGTGAGACCTTCATTTAATGTCCTTTAAAACAACATGTTAAAAATCACTTACATGACACGCTATTGTTCGAGCTGGAGCAATTCCATGTTGCACGTTATTGCTCTATTTACATTAATAACATACGTATTATGGTTTAAGTTATAGCGAATAAGTTCATAAGTTAACAAAATCAACCTGTTGGATTTAATTTGTTTTAGCCCTTCTAAGGGCCAGAGGTAAATCAAAAACACATTTACACCCACCCACTTCAAAAAATCTTTATTAATTGTTTCACACTTTGTTATTTGTTTTACAAGAGCTACAACAACTGTGATCTCTAAAAATGTCTCAGAAAATCTTTAACATGTTTTCGTCAATCTGATTTCTTGTAAAATAAAAGAAGGAGGAGGGGACTGCTTTCAACAGTTTAGTTACTACACTATGAAAATTCGAGACATTTTAGCTGTTCACTCCTTCCTCACTTCAACTGTAACCGCATGTCCTTTTAGGGGGCTTTTATTAGATTTAGATATGAAGGAGCATACTTTTACTTCTTGTTAGTATGTATATATCTTTTATGTTTTTCTTTTTTAAGTATATATCATTTCCCATATAGATATGATTTTACTATTAACTCTCTTATTTAGATTGAGATATATCTTTGATAAATATTTTAAAATTACAGTGCTGATAACAATTTTAAACCAACTGTTCCCTCTGGGTTTCGCTGATTCGTTTAATCTGGGTAAATAAAGATTAATATTATTATAAGCAGTAACTTTGAAAGTGATTTCCATCGCCTGATACCAAAAAACAGAATCTAACTAAGACTGGTTTCTAAGAAGCAAAGAAACCAATAACACAAAGAATCTAGTCCTGCAAACTTTGAACACGGTAGAAAGAATATCGGCACAGCTGGATACAATCTAAGAAACACTTAAAAATGTTGAAACTGCAACTGCAGTGATTGGAGGGCATTTGAGTAGATATTCGATCCTGGAGAAGACAGTTAATCAGGTCCTTTATAGGTAAACTTCACTGACAGAAAGGACTAAGGGTCTAAATGAGAAAGTTGCGGATATTGAAAATGAAATTAATTGTGCAGATGTAAAATTAAAGGAATTAGAATTTTAAAAAGGACTGAGGGAACAACCCCTGCACTTCTTTGGAATCACTAGGGACCATGAGTTCATCTTCCAAAGAGCGAGAGAAATGAAAGAGGAAATTGAAATGAGTACCGATTTGGAAAGAAGAGAGAGGAGAAAGAAGCAGTGGCCAAAGTTAAAAGCAAGAGACGAAGGAAAGATTGTTCAATTTTAGTAAGCCTAGACCAGACATGTTATACAGTGCGGCCATATATTCCATTGAAAACCCATAATTTTATACATTTACTTCAGGATATCATTGACCTATATTTTTGCTTAAAACCTAGAACCTTTTTGTTTCATTTGTTAAAGTTTCCAAAGTATGGTATGATACGCTTTGAGCATAAATGAAGCATAACTCCTTAGAAAAATAATACTATAGTTCCAAATTCCTTAGGCAGCACAAGAGGTATTTTATCAGCTTAAATGAACATAAATTATCAGCAGCCTTTTACATGCCAGGAAATTATGGCTCAAAAAAACCAAAAATAGAGAAGATACAAGAACTGCAAGCAGACCAAATACCATCACAGAGAAATCCACCATTTCAAATATCACAAAACCCATTCACCTTATGAAAGAAGAGCCAGACTCAACTCACCAATGAAGGAGTTTTAGATTTGCCAAGAAGTGCCAACAGAAGGCAGCTGGAAACCCTCATTTCTGCAGCAGAGGAAAATGGGGGAATCTGTTTCTTCACCGCAGTACACATATATGATTTTCATATATTTCCAGCCATTATTCACCACTTGGAAGCCCTATTTGGGTCCAACATAATGACCAGCTCCCAATTGGCTTGTTAGCTCAATTGATAAAGTGCTGCACTGGTATCACAAATCATTCAAATCTTTTACAGGACGGAATTTTTTTTTTCAGGTCTTATTTTCAACTACTCATTCAGTAGTGTCCATAGATGCGAGGATCGATTATATCGCTTTCTCCACCACAGTGCACACATATGATTTCCATATATTTCCAGTCATTATTTACTGCAGATGTAGCTTAACATGTTTGCTAAGCACCATAGATGAGGAAGGCCACTGTGGCCAATATAAAAATGCAGTGTGGAGAGTATGAGAAGAGTGAGGAGAATTTCATTCAGTCTCTTACACTGCTTTATACAAGTGGGATTATAAGTAAAGTAGAAGTCATCTTTAGTGATGAAAAATACAGGGTGTCATACCTGGGGTATCATAGTTCCTAGACCCCTTTCATAGAATGATCTCATGTCAAAAATTGAAGAGCCTGATATGGGAGATGTGATCTCAGTGAGGAAAACTTTGTTTCATGACTTACCAGTAGACCAACAGGTTGATGGGGTTTATAGGAAAATGGAGAATTTCTTACATGTGCATTGCAGATTCTACTTTGAAACTCTTTACTATAGGAAAGATAGTGGCAAATTGTGACAAGTAGGACCAATCAATGTCCTGGTTAATCAGCTTTCAAATGTGGGACACAGGTAGCCTCTCCCCATCAGTTCCTAAGTGACATCATGACTAGTCCTGTAGAGCTGGCTACTCAAATTGTTTTTTTCTCTAGTATAACTCAAGAGTTTGAACCCTTGATGCCAGCCCAAACTGTGCCCAATGTAATTCCATCAGATTTGCTTGTTTCTGTAGAAGAGGCTTCACTGGTCAGCAGTCAGCGGTCATTATGGCAGTTGGATGGTTTTTTTCTTACATCCGTAGTTTTGCTGCATTTTCTTGAATTACAATCCTTACTGGATCGAAAAACTGACTGGAACTGTTTCCCAAAGCTTCATTATGCGGCTATGCTTCTTCTGACCTCATAAGGGAAAGCATTTTGCCAATATATCCACTTCATCAGCTTGCGAGTCGTATCCACCATATTGCACCTTCTCCACATGGAAGAAAATATTACACCTCCAGGATTCGCTATTATGCTAACTCAGACAGTACTTTCCATCAAACTTGTCTCCTTACAAGCGGCAATGTCTCACTTAATCCTGGACCAATAACAACATCCAGACCAAATTCATCCCAGAATAAGAAGGAAAGTCTTAAATCTAAACTCTCCTGTGTCTCTTTTAACTCAAGGAGTATTGTTAATAAGCGACTCAAACTAAGTAGCCTCCTTGCTTTGAAATCCTACGAATTGGTCGCCATTACAAAAACATTCTTAGACTCAACGATAAACAGCTCAGAAATATTCTCTGATACTTTCAATGTGCAGAGGAGGGATCATTCAAGGCATGATGGTGGAGTTCTCCTGGCTGTTCACCAGGGTTTGTGCTGCATTAGAAGAACAGATTTCGAAACTGACTGTGAAATTTTATGGAGCGAGCTTATTGCTACGAAACCTTTTTCAAGAGTCCTGGTAGGGGTATTTTACAGACCTCCTTCAAGCAACATCGACTACTTGAAAGAGTTGGAGAGATCTTTATCGCTTATCGAACGTAGTGGTTATAATCTAAGTATTCTTTTATTGGGTGACTTCAATCTTCCCCAAATTGTCTGGTCTACCCCTTCACCTACGTGTCCTGATAGTTTGTCATCTACATTCTGCACTATCATTGCGGATTACTTTTTTCACCAGTTGGTACTTCAACCTACCCGCGAGCAAAATATTCTCGACTTGGTTTTCATTACAGCCCCGAAGCTGGTAAAGGATCTGGAAATTTGTCAACCTGTTGGTGGATCTGATCATTGTTCCATTGAATTCAATCTAAAATTAAAATTTCAGAGACCAAAACATAGTTGTAGGCTTGTTTACAACTATCGTGCTGCAGATTGGCTAGGTCTACGTGAAGATTTTTGTAATCTGCAGTGGGACTGTTCATATCTTATGGAGTCTGTGGATGATGTCTGGGATGCTTGGTAATTATTATTTTTCCAGGCTGTTGAACGTAATATTCCATCAAAACAACTTAAACCCCAGTGTAACGCACCATGGTTAAAGGTCAATCTATGGAACTGCTCTGTTCAGATATTTTTTGCAGATTCTACTAAAGGATTTGATATCATAGACCACTCAGTATTACTAGATGAGCTGCTATCAATTAATATCAATCAAACCTTTTTTTTTTTGGATGTGCTCCTTCCTTACTAACTGAACACAAGCTGTGCATGTTGGCTCCTCCCTGTTTCCATGGAAACAAGTCGAACAGTTTCTGTTTGGCTTATAGGCTCCGAGGTTCAAAGCATCCAAGTCAAAGCCTTCCTAGACCACGGGTCAGATTCAACTTATGTCTAAGATGACATCGTAACAACCCTTGGCCTTGAGACTGATGAACAAACCCTCAGATTCACCACCTTGACAGAGTTGTATTCCTTTCAAAAGCAAGAAAGTCTCACTGATGATAAAGACTCTCAATGGGGAGACCCAATCTACTGTTGAAGCATGGACACTGAATGAAATGTGTCAGGGCTTGTCTATTCTAGATTGTAATCGTGCCAAATGGTTTGGAAAGCAGAATGGACATTTAGATACTTTCTGTGTGATTAGTTGTTATTTTTCATGATTCGATGTACTAAGATTTTCCAGCCAGGGGTCATGTGTCAGTATTGTTACGTCAAGAACACGTCACAAACATGTGCATGTGATTTTACTGAGGTTTTATGCTTTTCATCTTGCTGACCGTCTATGTATGTTTACTGCATTGGATCAGTTCAAACATAGTTGTGTTTACCCTGGAGGCTTGTGAATTACTCTCTTCGTCGTCGATTATTCTCTCTGATACAAGGTCAAATAGGAACACCTTCAAAATATTCCATTTCCTAAAGCCCCCGGAAGGAAAACGATTGACATTCTGATCAGATCAAACCATCTTGAGCTTAAGCTAGCCTTTACAGAATGTTATCGTCCAATTGGAGCACCAGTAGCAAGAAAAACGCCATTGGGGTGGACCTGTGTTGGACATTTACTCGCTCTTTTGTCAGCTAAAAGGGTTGCCTACACCAAAACCTTTCAGATCCGTACCTTGTCTTGATGAACAACTATGAAGAATGTGGGAGATTGACTCACTTGGAGTTAGAAATTCAGACGAGAATCAGCTGAATCAGGAGGAGATCTTGACTATGTCAAAGGTCGAAAAGTCAAGATGATGGATTGGGGACCGTTATGAAGTAACCACTTCAAGCAGGGAAACGTTTGTCTTCTTTAGAGAAAAACCTCCTCAAGAAGCCAGAAGTTGCGAGACGTTACAAAGAAGCAATGAAAGCGAATGACGAGAAGGGCTACATTTGGAAGTGAAATCTAGTGAGGCAGAAGACAGTCCAAGCTAGTACCTCCCACACTTTTCAGTCATTAGGGAAGATAGAGAGACCACCAAAGTACACAAAGTATTTGACTCCGCTACACGTTGCAAGGGCGTTTCCTTGAAAGACATGATGCTTACTGGATTTAAACTTCAACGAGATGTCCTGGAGATACTTCTCCGATTTAGACTGAGACCTGTCACCCTAGTAGTGTACATCAAGTATACCGTAGTTATTCGGTTATAAGGCGCACTCGGTTATAAGACGCATCCCAAACTTAGCAATTTAATTGAGTTGAGTTCTCAAACTGAAAATTACGTGAAAATACTCGGTTATAAGACTCACTGAAAAGTTGAGAGTTAACAAAAAGAAGGGGTTGAATCTGACAACAATTATCCTTACACAATTGGCATGCGAACTCTCTTTGTTAACGTAAACAAAAGTGAAAAAGTCACACATTTAATGATATACGTGAAAACAAATGCTGAAAGTTCACACCTGTAATGATAAACTATTCAGTGATCCGATTTTGTCTTATAAAAACATCAATCACCTGATTTTAAACTCAGTTGCAAAACTTACTGATACATTCGCATCGTAAACAGTCAGAGTTCAACTTCAACTTCTTGTTCAATCGTTAATATGCCAAGCACTCGCCGTCACTTGTATGACCTCAACTTCAAGTTAAAAATCGTTGCAGAAGCCGAGGCAGTAAACAACAATCGTGAAATTGCCCGTGAATACGGCATTTCCGAATCCATGGTGAGAAAATGGCGTAACCAACAACGTGTCCTGTTTTCTGGTGAGCTGCGGATGACAGCAAAGCGTGCATCAATGGGACGCTACCGACCGAAGGATCCTGAGTTGGATCAGCAGTTAGCCGACTGGTTCGACGATCAATGAACTCAAGGTAAGCACTGTTTTGTTATTTAACCCGGATTTTCACTAGTGAATTGTTGTAAACGTGTTGAGAACCGTGATCATTCAAACGATTGAATAACAACTAATTACAGCAGAGCATCGTGCTTTATGAGATCACGCATGACCTGTCGACCTCATCACCTGAAGAGGACTAGCAGTATGCAGTTGAAACGCTGCAATCTACACCACATGTGACTACATCATGAGACACACAAAAAACTTAGCTTTTATTGTTATTTGCCACAATGAATAACCACAACCTTTTCTACGAGATTTGTAAGTTTTGAAATATGTAAGAGAAAAATCGAAAATCATACAAGTGTCAAGCAATGTTCAATGTTGAAAATTATGCAGGAGCCATTGGTCAGCTGAGCATAAATAAAAATTTTAATCACAATTGATTTTAGGGTTGTGACCAGCACGCAATAGAAGGTTTCAGCTAAGTGCTTATCAGAGGATAAAGAAGGAGCTAAGGCAGTCTGAACTCGAAAAGAAGCTGAAAAATGATGAAGAAATCAAGAAAATCCGACTTACGTTACATCAACAAGAGGCAGAACTCCAACAGTTAACCAAAGAGCTGCATAAAACGCAAAGGAAAGGCAAGGTAAAGTATGATATAGAGTCAATAGCAACGTGCAAATGGAGCAATTAGAAAAAACCTTATAGCTGATTTAGTCCAAAAGCCTTTGCTCAGTTGGCCTATTATATCACTTTCATACATTCGACCTCAGAAAAGGTGCTAGTTATTCAATATAAAACTATAAAAACAGCATAATTCTGAACTAATTTGTGCCAACTTATATCATTCATGTTATTGTGCAAAAGTGTTTTCTTTTTACATAACTTTACATTTTTTTTACAACTTAGATAAGTTTTTCCAAAATGTACAATTCCTAAAATAGTTGCATATAGGACCTTGATGAAGTATGTCAACAGTATAGACGTAGGTGAGGTACAAAACTTGCATGAACTGTCAAGAGACTTTTCTGTGCAACAGGTGTGTGGTGTTTACTGACCACTGAAGCCTTTTCTACTTAGATTAGCTGACCCATACATCACATTTAATGATGAAAATCCCTGCTTGACTTGGTGTAATGGTCAGAAGAATGTAATACATGTGTCAATTGGAGCTGATGAAGCACCCTTTGGGAAGGATGACAATGCAACTGGTAGTTATACATGTAGATTACAGAGGAAAGTTTTAGGCATGGCACACTTACAGTCAGGAAATTTCCTTGATTTATCTTATTATTCTATATTCTGTGATCATTTTATTATTTTATGGCCAGTTTAAATTTCATAGTTTATGGTAAAGCTCTAAAATGTGATGATTTACAAGTTCCTTTATGGGTTTAAACCAAATAGTAACCCACCGTTCAAACTTGCATTATAATTTTCATTTAACTTTGAACTTTTTAGAACATTGACTTTTCATATCCTTTCACTGGACTAGAATCTAGACAATTCTATTTTTGCCTATGCTGTCCAAGAATTGCTCAATGTTGAATCATTATCTACGACCATCAAGGTTAAATTGCATGCCTTAGCATATGTTGCAATAGAACTAAGGGATGCTACTTCTATTTATAAAAGAGTAGAAGTAAACAGGGATCTTTTGAAAAAGCTGTTTTTTAGCTGCAAAAACTATTTCAATGCTTATAGTCTGTTTCTTGGTCCTAGAATTAGCCCTCCAGTCTGGACAGTTGGGTACGCAATTCCCTACCATAATCTTCAACTCTCTGAACAGTTTAAGTATGGCTTGTTATTAAAATCAATGCAAGGACGTGAAGCTAAACATATCAAATTAGCCAGATATGTAGAGAACACATGTAATGTGGGAAAGAGTGACAGATGGTGGGTTGTCTTTCGATATGAATATATCTCTATGATTTGGCTTCAGGAGTTAGATCCCCTGAGTATCACTTACAGTCATACTCAGGGGATTTTTTAGTGATTTTTGAACGTATACATGACAATAATGCATTACAAATATTAGGAATACATAACAAACACTGACAGTACAAACTTGTATATCTTGCATAAATAGCTTTGATAATATAAAAACAGGAATTCCTTGCTGTCCAAAACAAAGGGCAGTAAGGAATTCCTGCCGTGAAATTATCAAAGCTTATTTTTAATATGCAAGAACCATTCATGAGTAATGAACAGTAACTTTAAATAAAAATTTTTTTCACATAAGCTTAATGTCAAGTAAAAATAATTGGGAACTTGAACATGTCATATTGCATTCAAATGATGTTGAGCAACTCCACTGGTGTTCCAGTATCCATAGTGAAACTTGACGGTTAAAACTTCATTTGACATGTGGAATTTTAACATGAATACCTTCTAGGGCAACCCTAAAAGCCGGAACAACGGAATGGCAGAAAATGACCCCAAATCCTAAAACACGGAACGGTGGAAAATGACCCTGAATCCTAAAACACAGAACAGCAGAAAATGACTCAGAATCCTAAAACACAGAACAGCGGAAAATGACCCTGAATCCTAAAACATGGAACGGCAGAAAATGACCCCAAATCCCACAGGTATCCAGTCAACTCGCCATTGGACCAACTCGCCAAAGCCAACTCGCTGACGTATAAAATCAAGTAGAGACATCGGCAAGTTGGTCCTCAATCCAGTACAACTTATTAGAAGTTAAACATACAGAAAAGTAAACGATATTTAGTTAAAAAAAACACTGGTGAACATTGGTGAACATCAAACAGAAGCTTAAACATTGGTGAACATTGGTGAACATCACCAATGACTATAACAGCTTAAGATGCGAACGAGTTATTGTGCGACAACAACACCGTAAAGAATCATCATGTCAATCGCTCAGATTTTTTAAAGTAAACTTGGCTTTCTAGACAAGATCTTTAGCAAAAAGCAATTCTTTTTATTTGCAACAAAGTTTATAAAGATATCAAGGCGAATAAAGCGAAGTAAGCATCGCCAATTAACAAAATTGGCTGTAGATGCAAATGAGTTGTGTGACAACAACACCGTAAAGACTCATCATGTCAATCGCTCAGATTTTTTAAAGAAAACTTGTCTTTCTAGACAAGATCTTTAGTAAAAAGCAATTCTTTTTATTTGCAACAAAATTTATAAGGATCTCATGTCAATTGGTCTTATTTATTTAAGTCAAGTCGCTTGGTAAAAAGTCAACGCACAAACAGTGTTGTTGTCACACAATAATTATCTCGTTTGCGTCTAAAGCGGATATAGTCATTTGCGATGTTTACTTTGCTTTATTCGCCTTGAGATCCTTATAAACTTTGTAGAGATCCTTATAAACTTTGGGAGTTGGTGTTGGCGAGTTGACCGTAATTCATCCCAAAACATGGAACGGATGTCGTGTTTTTTTAAAAATTTTTCTAATTAATTTTTTCAATAATTTTTTTAATTTTCTAAAACCGTGGCCCCCAAAATATTTTCTCACCCTGCCCACAAAAGTTTCAAATTTTTCACAACTTCACCTGTTCCTGCTTGTATGTCCAGGCAAGCCTTTATGGTCACTGGCATCCTGTATAGCCTCTAACTATGGCCAATAATTACAGGCATTTAGTTTCAACTTGTAAAACTCCTTGTGTGAGTGTGCGACAGCTAGATGAAACGTGTTGGAGAATAAAGAAGTTTTGCAACAACTGTTTGCAGAGCGCTGCTCTCTAGTTCAGTTTGAAAAAATTGTGAAAACAAAAAGTTGTTAAAGAAATTGGTCTAGACTTCCAACAATTTATGAGCCACCGAAGGGAGCAAGGGCAACCATCGCTACGATGGCCTTGCACAAGACAGCAGAGATGGGAAGTGAGCAATATCCGGATGCTGCAAAAATCGTGAAATACAACACATATATGGATGACATTATTGAAAGTATCACAGAGCTTCCCACTCTGCAGAAATTAATGCAGGACATTGAGACCTTCATCATTAAAGGCGGATTTAAACTGAAGGAATGGATCTTTTCCCGACTCAAGAAATAGTAAAAGTCTCTACTGAATGAGTCAAACATAGCAACCGAAAAGGTGCTAGAAGTCAATTGGGACGCGATCAAAGACCACTTGTGCTTTTCAGCAAAGCTTAACTTCTTTTCGATTTGGAAACGCAGAATACAGAAAGACAATCTTAATGACGATTTGAAACTCACACCACCACTAAGTGGATGATATTGTCACAAGTCAATAGTATGTACGATCCTCTAGGACTGGCAGGACAATTCACAGTGCGGGCCAAAATCTTAATGTGACATTTACGGGCAAATAGTGAAAAACTCGATTGGGATGATCCGATACTGGAAGATAATAAACAACAATGATCAGCATTCTTTAATGATTAACCTGAAATGAATCAAGTAAAATTTGAGAGATGTTTAAAGCCTTTAGACGCAGTTTGCAATCCTGTTTTTATTATCTTCTGTGATGCTTCATAGGATGCTTACGGCTCCTGTGCATATGTACGATGGCAATGACAAGGCGGAGGGTTTGCGTGCACTTTGATCGTTTCTAAAAATCGTCTTGCCCCAACAAAAAAATGTCCATTGACAAAATAGAGCTGTGTGGAGCAGTGTTAAATAAGCAGCTTAAATCCTTCATCGATAAAGAATGTACCGGTAGATACACTTTTGAGAAATGCTACTACCTAGTCAACTCTCAGATAGTACACACAATGACACAGAAAAGCTCTTACGGTTTCAACATCTTTGCCGCTACACAAATCGATGAAATTCAGGGAGGAACCAACATCGAGGATTGGTATTGGTGCAAGAGTAAATTTAACATTGCAGATTGGTTGACTAGAGGAAAGAAGCCAAGTGAAATTAGTCTTCACAGCAATTGGCAAGAAGGACCTCTCTTCTCAAACAACCTGAGAGTGAGTGGCCTATCTCTCGTAATTATTCTGAAGTAAGAATACCTACGACAATTATGAAAGTAGTCAACACAGTGATTGTAAGTGTTAAAGACGACTTGGCGTTAAGAGTATAAAGATCGAACGATTCTCAGATTAAAACTATCTACTGAGAGTGACAGCAAGAATCCGAAAGCTTTATCGCAGAGAACCTGAGGCAACCTTTAAGAACACAACACAGGAAATAACACGTAAATATGTAGAGACAGTGGAAGTATTCTGGATCAAAGAGGCACAACGAAATATGAAGAACGATATAAAGCAAGATACGTACAGATGTTTGTGTCCTCGATTACGAGATGATGGCATATACGTGATAAGTGGCATGCTGAAAAATGGCTAGAAATTGGCTACAACAAGGAAGATATCATACTCCTACCATATCAGCATCGATTTGCTCGACTTTACTGCAAGTACATTCATGCTAAGGGGCACCACGGAGTTCTTACAACTGCAAGCAAAATCCGCTCAAGGTTCTGGATAAACAAATTACTTAAAATGATTTAATCTGTAAAGCTCAACTGTGTGACATGTAAGAAACTTGACAAGAAACTATCAGGACAAGTGATGGGAAACCTTCCTAAAGAACGACTCAAGCCAGCAACCCCATGGTATTCCACATCAATAGACTTACCGGTATTTGGACCATTCACAATCCGTGATGCAGTCGAGAAGCGTACTACATCAAAAGCGTATGGGGTAATCTTTAACTGCATTGGAACCAGAGCTGTATATTTGGACCTTGGGCTAGACTACAGCACAGAAAGTTTTCTTATGATGTTGTGCAGATTGTGCAGCAACGGTGCGCAACTTGTTGCAGTAAGTCAGGAACTTAAGAATGTTACAAAATCTTGGGATTATGAGAAGCTTAAAAGTTTTGGAGTTATGGAGGGTTTTATAATGGAACTTCACACCAGCTGATGCACCATGGCAAAATGGAACATCAGAATCTCTCATCAGATCAGTCAAAAGATCACCTAAGATAATCTAATTAATGAAAGACCCATAGGTCATCATCCAAGGTTGCCCAAAGACAGTTCCTATTTGTGCCCAAGCAACCTACTTTTAGGCTGTTCCACAACACGAGTACCAAGTAGCCCTTTAAAGAGTCCGCAAATCCAAAACTCCATTTTGAATTCATTCAAAACATAGTTAAAAGCTTCTGGAAAAGATGGACCACAAACTATTTCCAAGACCTGATTGTGCATCAGAAGTGGCATACAGCATATTGCAACCTTAAAACTGGAGACCTTGTTTTAATACAAGATTCTAACTTGGTTAGAGGTCAGTGGTGACTTGGGATAGTTTCAAATACTTTCCAGGGTTCTGATGGCAAGGTGCACAAAGTTAAAGTGCAGTACAAAAATCTTAAGCAAGGTGAACCTGTAACCAAATATCAAGGGAGAGGATTTGTCATGATCAAACGCACTGTACACCATTTAGTGTTACTTATACCAAAGGATGACATTTTGGACTTCTGAAATGACATTAACTCTGTACTGTTCCTATTTTTATAATCTGGACTTATTCATTTACAAATCCCTTTTTGTGGAGGGGAATGTCTCGTTGAGAAGTTCTATAATCGATCACTAAGTTAATTTATCCGCTAATGAGATACGTTATAGTAATGTCATAACATTAATGTAAGTTATTTGTCAGCTGTGGACCTAGCTGACTCAATGGGTAAATATCAAATTGTTTCGTATAATTTATTATTTGAGCATTTCATAACAATGTAACTTCCTTTTAGTAATGAACGCAGTTCTTTTATTGTCTGGCAGTAAAGTCATCAATAAAGATGTTTGATAACAGTGAACCAAAAGCCCACAACTGACGAAACAAAAAGTAGGGTTCTGATTTCACAAGTGAAATGGTGTATATACCTGTATTTATCATGCACATTTTTTTCCTTACTAAAAAATAACATTCACATTCGGGATGTGTATTATACACTGAAAATTCCCTGGACCTGCATTTTGGAGTCCATGAAGCATTTAAATATATTTTCCATAAAGACCAGAAATGGGGTTTGTTTCATTATAGGCAGGTGCATGTTATTAAGAAGTTAACATTGTATATAATATATTTATCACTGACCACACTTAGAAATGTACTCTGCATGAAAACACACGTCAAAATTATTCGCAAATTGTACCAGTAACTACATTGCAACATCCTTAAAAGTTTTCATATTTACATTTCGTAAATAAATAAATTTTTTGCAAAATGTAATTCAGTAGATTTCAAGGGAAAAATCTCTTCAAAAGGATCCTCTTTCAAGTCTATTAAAATCTGCACCACTGATCATTTCCTCTTGTAGGCAGCATTTTGTCATGATTATAAGGAACTGCATACAGTCCATTATGTCATCATTAGTCTCAAAACACAAGCCAATATTCCTGAAACACAAACCAAAAGACTGGGCACTTGCGCCGTGATTATCAGAGAGAGCCTCGATTTTCCTTGTTGAACATGGGAACTGTTTTACAATGTGACTAAGCTAAACTCATCGCACTTTTCGGTATGAAATTTTCAATAACGTGTTTTGCAGCCATTGGGGTTGCGAGGTAAAATCCTGTTTTAAATTCTGCGTAAAATGTGGTAATCCTACAGCCCAGAACTCTGACGATCGTTCTTCTAGCTGTGAAATGATGGAAAGTCATAGCAGCAGAACTGGATGCTTGGAGGCTGATCTAAGCACATCTGATGCTGTATCTTCCAAAGAACCTGTTCCTAAGTTGGATACGTTCGTGAAGAAGAAAAAAGATGAGCAGGTGTCTCATTTTAAGAGGAAGAACAAGAAGTTAAAGAATGAAAAGGACGAACCAGTGACAATAAACATAGGAATAATGCGTTATGTGGAGGAGGAAAGTATGCTAAAGCCTCAGCAAGGAAAAAGTCTTCCCATAAGACCTAAAACAGCAGATAGTGAGGAGGTATTGAAGTTAGCTGTGGCTAAGCAATTCCTACATAACGGAAATGAAACTGTCTACAGCTCTGTGAATTCCTACAAATTGCTATACCCAGATGGAACTGAGGTTAAACGAATGAAAGAATCTAATGAGGCATTTAGTTTACAATGATACAAAACTGAACTGGGAAAGCCTTATAACAGGTTAACATTGTATCTTTGTAGTTCTTCAGATTACCTTTGATTATGCCTTAAAAGGCCTTGTTGATGTCATTTCTTATGGCAGTGACAGTGAGGGTGATAGTGAAAAGGATTTTGAAGAACTGGGTGAACCCACACAAAGTAAAATTACAAAGTACACCCATACCAGCTCTGTGGTTTCAAATACTAAAACTACTCCTGGTGATTTGTCAGGTCCTCTTCCCATCACCACCTCATCTGTGTCAGTAAGTACTACTGTACATGAATGTGATGCTAATGTTAGTGGTGTCATAAGTAGCAACAATCTTAGCCGTCCTCGTTGTAGTGCCAGTGTTTCATCCAGTTTTGCTGCAGAATATCAAAATCAAAACTCTGGATTTAAGACACTGAAAGAAATGTTTCCACAACTACCTGACAGGAAGATATTTGAAGTATTCAGTAACAGTCAAGAAATAGAAAGTGAAAAGTACATGATGGAGAACCAGGAAGACCTCTGTACAAAAATCGAGTGAACTATTCCAGAAAAGCAACACTCAAGGGAACAAGATTAGGCTGAAAGTGAGAAGAAGTTGCCTGTTGGAAGATACTTTGGTGACAATGAAGAGAGTAAACCCTGACTGTTTAAATGACATTGTAACTGTCCAGTTCATTGGAGAACCTGCAGTGGATGAGGGAGGACCACGAAAAGAGTTATTCTTCCTGATGCACAAGCATATGTAGCAGTCATCAAGTCTGTTCACAGGGCCTCCTGCTCCTGTAAGATTTGTCCACAATATGATTGCTCTACAGAGGGAGGAGTATCTCCATTATGGCGTTACTTCAGCACTATCAGTATATCAAGGATCACTTGGCCCTGCAATGTTTGCTGCCCCTGTTGTAGACTACATATTGTGTGGTAAATTAGACGCAGTGAGAGTGTCGCTTTGTGACCTCCTAAGTGGGAAAGTTAAAACAACTTTAGAAGAGCTGGAAGCCATTAGCGACCCAGTAAAGTTCAAGCAAGAAGCTTCTTTAATACACCTTTAAGGTTCAAAGCATGATATACAAAGCCTATTATGGCTTTTGAAGACAAGCAAGAATTTATCAGATACATCTGCCTTCACCAGCTCATTTAACAACCCAGTCTAAAAGAACCAATATCCATTGTTCGTGTGGTCATACCTTTCAAAGATCAAGAATCAGCAAATTATGTTAAGAAAGAGCTCAAGAACGAGAAATCAAGCCACAGATTGTCAACCAACAACGCGTCGTTTATCAATTTCAATGTGACCTGTGTGATGCGGGTTATGTGGGCTATACACGCGGACACTTACACACACGCGTGGATGGACATAAACGAAAGGCATCTTCAATATATAAACACTACCACGAACAGCACAGCGAAGTCCCGAAAGACCTACTGAAACGTTTTAGCATTCTGAAAAAGTGTAGTAACAAGTTCGATTGTTTGGTGAACGAAATGCTTTTCATCAGAGACTTAAAACCCACTCTGAACGTGCAAAGCGATTCAATTCGCGCAAAAGTATTTGTTTAATTAGCTCGTAACATATTTATGCTAATTTAATGTTACACTTTGCCACAAACTTCATTCTTTATTTCTCCTTGACAATGGCGTCATGATGACACCGAAACGTCGGTTTTATCGTTAGTTTTTGCTAGTCTTTGCATTTCTAAATCCTTATTGATAAGAATCTTAAAACGCGATAATCAGCTACATTTGTTCAGGAGACTTGAACAATGCAGCAAGAAACAGATTAACTGCGATGGCTCAATCGAATTCCTCAGACTCTGTCAGAACTTTGACCTAACTCCAACTTTCGCTAAGGTCGACAAAGCAAGGCGTTCTAAATGGAAGCACTCTTCCGAAACCTTTACAAGGAATGTCATCTCTGAGGAACTAAATGGAAAGATCAAACAGAGTGCTTATCTAAAACGCGCGATCAATTCCATCTACGATGAGATTCGCCGGAGCTGTAGTTTGCTTCGCTACACCTGCGTTCTACGCACTATGGTTAGCCTTAAAAAGAAATATCATCAGGAAGTTACGAATACTCACACGAAGAAGATCTCACGGCTGCTCAACATCGAAATGGATGTTGACGAACATATTTTGAACCTATCATCCTACAACCTCTCCTTTTTTCAGAGACTGGTCCTTTGCCGAGGATTAACATTTGCCATTCCTCAACGTGTGTCTCCCATGGACGTTAAAGCAAGCTTTGAAAAGGCCTATTGGAGCCTTGAACCCCACCTCAATGATGATAATTTAAAGGAATTATCTGCAGCAACGTTACGTTTCGTTGCACTCAATTACATCGAACGCAAGAGTCCGAAACCTCCAAAGACATTGTTGAGAGCTATAGAGGAGTTAAAAGGACGCGACGACATAGTTATCACGAAACCCGACAAAGGGTCTGGTGTTGTGGTTCTAGACAAAACCGAATACTTGCGATTACTTTCTGAAGCCTCAGTCAATGATACAAGCAAGTTCCGTGCCATTCCCCTAGAGAAAACCCAAGACCAGGGGCAGACCATCCAAATATTACCACCCCTACTACAGAAAGAGAAGATCCTAGATTCCATTGTTCGTAGAATTCTACCGAAGACCATTGCAGATTCCGTGAGCCCTACAGGTTCCAGATTAGCACATTTATATGGGTTGCCAAAACCCACAAAGAACCATTGGCTATGAGGCCTATATTATCAGCCACCGACACGTACAATTTTCCCCTTGCTAAATGGCTCGACGAGAAATTGAAGCCCTTGTCCCTTAATCAGTATACAGTTACTGATAATTTTGATTTCACAAAAGAGATTCACGAGCTGAAGATCAACAAGGGTGAAATCTTGGTTTCGTATGATGTCTCCTCGTTATTCACGAACGTGCCTTTGGACGAAACAATAGAGATCTTGGTTAACAGAGCCTTTTCGAACAATTGGTTCAATACTACTCACAATCTTGCCCTTACCAGAACAGATCTTATTGACCTCCCAAACGTAGCCACCAAAGGCCAACTATTTCAATTTAACGGAGCTCTATACGAACAGACAGATGGCGTTGCTATGGGGTCCCCTCTCGGCCCCTTATTAGCAAACGTCTTCATGTCATCCATCGAAGATACCCTTGAGCGACAAAGAAAACTTCCATCCTATTATCGTCGATATGTTGATGATACACTCACTGTAATGCCTGATCTAGCAACAGCAACTACCTTCTTGCATACCCTCAACAGCGCCCACACTTCGGTCAAATTCACCATGGAGGTGGAGAAGAACAGCAAGCTTCCTTTCCTTGGCACCGAACTACTCAACCATGCACCTCGGATTGAAACCAAGGTATATGTGAAACCAACAAACACGGGCCTACTATTACACTACCAAAGCCATGTAGACAATCGCTACAAACGGAGCTTGCTGAAAACTATGCTGGATCGCGCACACCGATTATCTTCCTCCTGGGCCCATTTCTCTGATGAGTGTGATCGCCTAAAGAAAGTTTTCGCACGGCTTAAATACCGGGGCGCCTGGTAAATTCTACCATTAACACCTTCTTACAATCAAGAATTGTTGGTACGCAGCCCACACAGACGCCCAAAGAACCAATATCCATTGTTCGTGTGGTCATACCTTTCAAAGATCAAGAATCAGCAAATTATGTTAAGAAAGAGCTCAAGAATCTTAGCATGAAGGTGCAGACAACTGTCCAGCCAGTGGGTTATGTGGGCTATACACGCGGACACTTACACACACGCGCGGGATGGACATAAACGAAAGGCATCTTCAATATATAAACACTACCACGAACAGCACAGCGAAGTCCCGAAAGACCTACTGAAACGTTTTAGCATTCTGAAAAAGTGTAGTAACAAGTTCGATTGTTTGGTGAACGAAATGCTTTTCATCAGAGACTTAAAACCCACTCTGAACGTGCAAAGCGATTCAATTCGCGCAAAAGTATTTGTTTAATTAGCTCGTAACATATTTATGCTAATTTAATGTTACACTTTGCCACAAACTTCATTCTTTATTTCTCCTTGACAATGGCGTCATGATGACACCGAAACGTCGGTTTTTATCGTTAGTTTTTGCTAGTCTTTGCAGTCTAAAATTGATCAGTTTATTAAAGGACTGATGACAAATGGCATCTTGGATGTGATTAGAAACAACCCAGAAAAATCTCGCAAGCAACTGCAGCATGATAATAACGAGAGGCTAACTGCTGAGGTTGTAGATGACAAGTTTCATTGCATTTTTTCTGATCAGGGGAACAAGAAACGAAGAAGTGAAGAAGCCATAGCCTTCAACTTCTCACACTACCTGGAAGATGTTGAAGCCCCATAGGAAACTAACAGCAAACACCTGCTCCTGCACCCTTAACTTTCCAGTTTGTGATTTGCTTACCGATTATGAGTCATTTAAGAATGAGTTCACAGAAAGCTGCATAACTATTCTTTTAATGGTTTGGAGTGGACAGAAGCACCTTAAGATGTACAAGCACTTCCTGAGTTTATAAGTCCCCACAGGATTATTTTCTCCTTGTAAACAAGCATGCTGACTTAAACTGTTCGCAAAACAAACTAGTCTGCAGGTCTAAGTCCAAGTTGAAAAGAAATCCCACCTAGTGGGGAGAATTGACTTTTGGGAAATTTCATCAAACAGTACATGGCAATGAAATCCATCAAACATCTAATGAAAAGGTGGTGTTGAGCTGATGGTTATTCAGGATACTTATGCAACTTTGGCATTGTCACTGGACTGGTTAGACGTGTTAAACCGCAATAGTGACGTTACTGTTTGTCCATTAGGGAAGTGATCTTTAAGTTCCACCCAGAACCGCATTCTAGTTAGTTGTCTTGCTTTGGGCTAACGATAAGACATGTTTATTGAAAAGGGCCTTTTTGCCCACCTTATGTTGAAGTTCATATTGGTCAAACTCTCACAAGCGGAACTGTTATGTAAGTGCTTATGTTCCTTTTCTTTGTACTTGTCTAAACATCTAGTCTTCCGGTAGTTTCACCCAGTTCTTACACCAGTTTCTTTGCAACCTTGTAACACGTGGTTTACGTTATTCACACTTTGTTAGAAAGCTGCTCATTTTTCCCACTTGGTTAGTTATGTTAGAATTTGTTTTCAAGCGGTTCTCCTTTATCCTTGGAAGATAGTCTTTTTGTGATTTTAGAGTTTCAGCTAGTCTCTTTGGATCTTGCTTTTATATTAGAATGACTGGAATGTTGGTTCGTATATTATAATTTAGCTTAGCTTCTTCCTTATAGTTTCATATTTCAGTTTTTGATAAGTACTTGGATACCTTGACTACACTAATGAAATAGTTTGTCTTTTCTGTAGAATAGATCCTTGCTTCATAGTGTGTCTCCATTTGCAAAACTCATAGTTGTTGTTGAAAATTTGCTTTGCTTGTCACTACAATTTAAGAACCAAAATTAACTAAACATAGCCAAGTCAGAGGAAAGATATTGTAGATTAGATTATCACTTTAAATCTTTTAATACTTTGATGTACTTTTTAAAATTTAGTCATTTAGATTTTACTTGTTTTTGTTTTAAACTTTAAATTCAGTCTTAATGTCTTAATATAGGCCACTTCTGCTCAATTAGGAATACGCCTCAACCCGGAATAGAGAAAGCTTTCCACAGCAACTCTGCAACAAATGGCAAAAGAGGGGCTACTTGTTACTTGGTGGTTGTGACACCATGTGGAGGTCCCCAAGCCAAGGATATAAATGTATCACAACCACATGGATAAGACTTTTCTGGAATATCAGACATGGTTATTGCCATCCTTAACCTGAAAGTTAAACTAAGTAAGGATGACTTACTGCAGAAGTGCCTACATGGCAAGAAACAGAATCAAAATGGATCTTTTAAAGAGATGGTGTGGCAGAGAATTCCAAAAGAAATTTGGAAGGGTGCCATTAAAATTAAGACTGTATGAGGCAGTTTCTCATTTCAGTATTAGTGCAGTTGCTGTTGTTAAGCTTTTCCAAGCCCTCAACATTCTTCCTTACA